TATTTTCCTCCTAAACAGCTTTTTAATTGACTAAAACAATTTAGCTTTTTGACAGATAATGTCAAAAAAGAAAACCGTGAATGCTCGTCCACCTTTGGACAGAATTTTGTCAGAAAAAATAACTCCGTTCTGGTTCAACGGCATGAAAATAAATTTCAAGGCTGAACGTTTGTCCTTTCCAAAGCAGCTTTGCATATTGTGTTAAGACGGAGCCAAGTTTGACTTGATGACTCGACGGTTTTTCTCCATGAATGAGTTTTTGACCTTAATGACTGCAGTTTCTTGACGCAAACGGTGCATAAGTAATTCACTTAGATCCACGCCACGTCTTTTTTCTTTTTTTCTTTGCATTCTCCACTCTTGCAGTACAGTTTGGCAAACACCTTTTTTGGTGTATGAGCGCCACCTGCAGAGTGCTCGGTGGATGCTGTTAATTATTTTAACAGCATTCTACAGCTGCTCTGTGTAATTGTTGTTACGTTTGCACGGGGGAAAAGAAGAAAATAAAGTTGCTAACAATACTTCTACTACGTACAATTACTACCGTAATCATGTTAATACACGTTCTTAAAGTACCAACAACATCACCGACGATCCTAATCCAAATGAGGTTCTCTTGCTTACCATTAGAGGGAGTCAGAGTACGACCAATGACACCCAAACCATTGTTTGAGAACCATTGATTTTTTTTTTTTTAGCTTGAAAAGTCTGTAGCAGAAATTGGACTCACGTTGGGCTGAACAATAATACGCTTGTGGGGCAAATAGTGGTGCGTTCTTATTTTTATGCATCATGTAGAAGGATGTGAGGGTTTGTCACTGTCGCTGGGTCACGTGACCTTGTCACTCATTAGTGCTGAGGCCCTAATGAATGACAGGAGTTAACAGTAATATACTGTTAACTCCTAAAATGGAACCGTTTTATTTTCCTTTTTTCTTTACTCTTTTCTTTTTCTTATTACTTTTGTCTGCTTTGCTTTTTTTATATAAATTTGTTTGCTTCTTCTTGTGACAGGAGTTAACAGTATATTATGGAGCCGTTTTATTTTTATTTTATATAAATTTGTTTGCTTCTTCTTTGTGTTCCTTTCATTCTTTTCTTTGGTCTTTTTGGTCTTTTTTTCTCTGGCTTTATTACCTTCTTTTTTTCCTCTGTCTTTTTCTGTCTCGTCCTTCTATCTTTACTGGTGTTTTCCCTATTTTTCTTCTCATTTCTTTTCCTGCTTTCTTTTAAAAATGTCCTTACATTTTTGTCTTTTCTGTCTTTTCTGTTCTTTTTTTGTCTGTCTTACTTCTACCTTTCTGTCTTTTCTTTCTCTCCTCATTCTGTCGTGTTTTTTTTTCTTCTTTAATCTGGAACCACACACAGCTCCCATTCATAAATAATGCAAACTTGTTAAGTGTGCAAAAGCAATTATTTGAGGACTTAATTAGCTGATGTCGTACAAAGATGACAGTGGCAGCACTGATGATTTTTAATGCGATTGTTTGCCTCTTGTCTTTGTTTCCTGTTGTTAATGAAACAGTCAGATTCCCTTCATTTCTTATTAGAACATTAATGCAACACTGGGTAATCTCCACTAACACTCCTCACTGTACAGACCTCCTCACAATTGAGTTGTTGATTGAGGAAAGAGCTTAATTAAGACGTCGTTAACTGAAGAGAAACGAACGACGTTCACAGTGAAATCAAGGCCGTTGGAGTCCAACGTCAACCTCGTCTTCAGTTTCTCTCCGTGCCCCTGTGTTTTAGTGCCACCTGGGAATAATCTGGAGATAATGTGGTTGACATTCATCACGTTCAGTCCCCAGGCGGTTGAACAACCTTGACGCTGTCATCGCTTCGTCATTAGAATCACAACAGAAACCCGTTAATAAGAATACGATTTTCTCATCACTGTTCCCGTGGCCTTTGGTCTCCACCTCAAACAAAAACCAGTCAGGGAGAGAAGCCTGTGTTTTCACACCAACATAATTGAAAAAAAAAAAGTTAATTCTTTTTTGTTATTGAACTGATTTTTAATATAAGTCTACGTGGATTACAGCCTTATGACCTGACTTTCGTTTTTGCTGTTGCCTCCCTCGTCTACGCTCCGCTGAGCAGCTGCGTCTCTTGTTCGTAATATAAGCTGTTGTATTATCAGTCCAACAGATATAAGATATGACGCTGGTTCGTTCAAGGGGCCCGCAGAAGGGAGGCAGACATTTGCAGCGGCAGCCATCTTGAGTTGGTATCAAGATGGAGGCGATAATAAGGCTGCCGTCTCATTGAGACAGAAACGGTCTCTGGAAGAGCATCAGCAGCAAAAATGAAGAAAAAAAAAAAAAACCCACAACCATATGATTGACTCATGTGACAGTCACAAGGTGGAAAAACTAAGGAGTGAAACGACGGTGATGTTTCTGCTGAATCTGTCCCCTCGGAGCCCGATGGCATTGATTTGCTTTAGTTTTTAATTTTTTTTTGTTTCCTCCTCATCAGTTGAACTAACATTATCTCCTTCTTCTTCCTCCGTCTCCGTCTTCTCCTCTCTCTGCTCGTCACTCTGCGTCCTCTCCTCCCTCCATCCCTCTGCCTCCTTCACAGGGTTTCCTGAAGAACGAGAGAGACAACGCCCTGCTGTCAGCCATCGAAGAGTCTCGTCGCAGGGTCAGTATCTGCTCTCCAGATGTAGAAAAAAAACACAAACCATCAGAACTGGTACTGCAGCTGTGCTTTTAGTACAAATTATTATAAAAAAAAGTGTCGTCTTAAAATGACAAATGACTTTTCTTTTTACTCCAAAAACTGCAGAAATGACATCCACAGGAAGTGCATTTATGAAAGGAAAAAATATCTATGTAGAAATAACAGCAACAAAAAAGAATCTTTTTTTTATCCTTTTTATGTTGTAATTAAGTATTACTCAAGTATTGAAGTATTACTACTCCTACTTGTGGTGTGTATTAGTGGGTAATATTTACACCTTGTTAGAATAATCTTCCTTTCACTACATTTTTCCTCACACCAAATAATATGAGCAGCAAATATGAATCAACTTCATGGTCAGTGATCAGGTCGTCATTCATCTGTAAATATATATTTTTAAACATATATTTTAAGAAAAAAATCTAAAATGTTCAACTTTATTTAATTCAACTATTAGATTAATCTTTGCCTTTTGACTTTTTTAAAGTCATTAACGAATGTCATATGTTAGTGCACAAAAAGTATAATTCACAGCAGAAAGTTTTTTTTTTAAAGACACTATTAAATTTTGTGCTGTCCTGATCCATTTATAAATCTATTTGCCCCCTGTCTTTTACTCTGATTATCTCAATAATATGCACAGTTGTGGACATGAGCGCGGCACAGTTTGCCAATTTCCGTGGACTATGATCTCAAAGTCCTTCTGGTGTGAAGCTTCAGGGAATAGTTTTGAAATGGCTTCCCCTGATGTGCGGCGTCTAATAGGCCCAGTGTGTAATTAGCCGCCGTTCCCATTTTCTCTCTGCACTCCCTGAGAGGGAGAGCGAGGTCGAGAGACAGGGAGAGAGAGAGAGATTGTGTTAAAATGTGAGTGGGGGAGATCGGGGGGGTGTATATGAGATATGAAAGGAAGTGTATTTGCATATTCCTGCACATTTTTCCACATTAATAGCCGTGGCTTCAGCCCAGCAGTGACGTAGGAATTCCAGCTCTGCCACATCAACGTTGCTGCGTTCAATCTGAATGTAAAACATGACATTTGTGTCAAAAAAAACCAAAAAAAAAACGCCCTTTAGCTGACCTCAGAGCCGGGCCTTCAACCTGATCCGCGGCGACCTGTTACGTTCAGCTGTTACAAGTGAAATGTTGAAAACCTCCACATCCAGACAGACACCAATTTAAAGCCTGTAAACGGTGGCTTCAGTCTCGGTCGGCGGCTCCCAGAGCTGGAAATTCAATTATCTCAAATTTCCATTATCTCCCATTGAGTCTCTGTGGAGAGTTAAAATAGGCTGCGGCGCGTCCTGGTGGAGCAGCACAATCTCAAACCGGGCTCTGCTGCTAAATTGGGTGTGTGTGAGTCTCTGCGTACGTGTGTGTGTGTGTGTGTGTGCGCTCCAGCTTCACAGGTTGTCCCAATTTACATAAGTAGTGCAGTAGCTCTGCCTGCACTGGTCCGACTTAGACAACTTTCTGGAGCATCACGTCCACGCAGCTGCAGAGAAACAAACTCCTCATCAGTGCGATATAACGTCTCAGCAGAGGGCGCCATTTTAGTACATCAGGGGGTTTCATTTGATGAAAGACAGATGAAGGTAATAATTTACATCCAGTCAAATCAAATTCTTGATTACGGATTTTTTTTTCTCCTTCTGAATATTCACATTTCACTGAGAAGGAAACCAAGCCTGTAGAATGTGTGTGTTCTATCAAGAAACGCTCCGTCAGAAAGTGATTTTTTTATTTTTTTTTAATCATGATTGGGTCTCCATAAATGTCACAGATGAGTAAGGACATGTTGTGATCAAGATTAAACCTTAATTATGGTACATAATTGGTTAGGTCATTATGGGAATTTTCGTTTTTTGTGAAAACTGCTTGGTTTTTACATCAAAAACTCAATAAATTTAATTTTTTTTCCCCCCCTGATGTTTATGATTTTTATTTTTAAAAGAGATAAAATGTCCATTAATTAACACAGACTCGAATCCTTAATAACTCAGTTATAAGTCTGTTTGCGAGCGGCACAGTTTGACCACAAAGAAAATTTAAAAGTTACTTCAGTGAAGTCTTACCTTGAAGTTGATGATTTTTATTTTTATTTATTTTTTTGCAGACCTTCCTCCTAGCTGAGGAGTACCATCGTGAGTCCATGGTGGTCCAGTGGGAGCAGGTGAAGCAGCGAGTGCTGCACACGCTACTGGGCGCTGGAGAAGACGTCCTGGACTTCAGTCAAGATGTCGAGGTATAACATGAACCGAAAGACACGGCCTCAGATAAAACCAGTAACAAGTACAGAAAAGATACTGACGTTGAACTGTTAAAACACACACACACACAAAAAAAACATCCTCAGATAAGTTAGAATTTGTTTGCAATTAAGCAGAATTTTTATTTTAGCATTTTTCAAAGTGGTTGGTAACTAATTATAATTCAATTTGCTGCAGTACATGCTCCAAACGTCTCCTTCAGTTACTTGTCAGATAATAATCGTAAGAACTTTGGCTTAAAAAGTGTAAAATTTAAAAAAGAAATCTTAGATTTTACCCTTTGAGGAAATCTCCCAGCATGCACTGGGCTTGTAAGCATTGATACAGGTCAGCTGTATGATTTTTTATGTGTGTTGAACTCGTATGTCGTGTCGTACGTTACAGCCCAGCTTTGTGAGTGAAGTGAACGCCCCGGCCAGGAGCGCCCTGGACAGCGTGGAGGTGGCCTACGGACGACAGGTCAGTCACCGCTAGTCACATCTAAAATCAAAACCAAAAGGCAGAAACGCTATAGAGTTTATTGACGACAACGAACAAAATCGTTCTAAAGCTGCAATAACGTCATTTAAAGGTGTCGGGAAAAAAAATATATCAAATAGTAAATATTTGTTCAAAAGTGTGAATATTTGTAAATCTTGAATTATCTCTATTTTAGATCAATAAAAAAAAACACACATTTGTACGACGTCACCGTCCCATTGGTCGGTTCTCCTCCGTGGTTACTGAGAGAATCAGGTCACAGATCAAATATATTGATGGATTGGGTGGTTGAAGGGAAATGTGGGTAATTTTTCTCCCTCTCTCACCCGTCCACTCACTCACTGTGTGTCGATGTCTCTCCACCCCCACACACACACTCCCCATCACCATCACGCCGTCTGACCTTTTCTGTTCCCCCTTTGTGTCCGTCTCCTCTCCGCAGCCGCTCGTCTGACCACG